CAGGAATGATAGACACATTGCCTTAACTGCACCCAGGCACCCTACTCCTGGGGCAGAGGGAGGAAGAGAGGAGGGAAAAAGAGGCCCATCCAGAGGCATTTCTAGCTGGCTTAACTAGGGAAGAGATGGGGCCTTCTGCCCAGCTATGGAGCCTAGGAAGATGAGGCTCCAAACTTAGCAGCATGGTTAGACAAGATGTGTACCTCCTCTCCCCCCTCCTCACCCGGTGGGCTTTCAAAAGCAAGTTAATCTGCAGATAAGATGCAGATTTTGAAACCTGTCAAATACACGACTGTCATCCCTAGACAAGCAAGCTACTAAAAAGACGCATTTTGTGGTTTACACTTTACTCCTAAATCAAGCTGTATCGTGCAAAAGAGAAGTCTTCTGCTTTTGTAATTAGTCATATCTGAAGCTTCTTAACAATAGTTAGCAGCATTGGGAATATCTGAAATCTCTTTTCAGACAGGCACTTCAGTGCATTAATCCAACTTCATTCATAGCTGCTTCCCTGAATAACAGCTTAGATTGGCAGAGTAATATTTATGTAAACCCTTAAACATCTTTGAAAACCATCTACACTTATCAGAAACAACAAGTGGAGTTTTGCTCTCTCACTGAGCTGGCAATGCAAGGGAGCAGAGCGGTGTCCAGCCAGCACAGCCCCATGTCACAACGTTCAGGGCAATGCCGACGCACCCTCACTCTCGATCAGCCTGAACACACACGCCAGCCTTCAGCTTCAGAGCGTGCAGGTCTCTTCAGCATGTTGCCTAAGAAATAACGTACAAAGACAGGCTGTCTCCCTTCTTTTCCTGAGCAGAGCTATTTAGTGAATATTTTGCTTTTAGGTCTGATAACAGCGGAAAAAAACACCCTCGAGAGCTCCCCAGTGAGACAGGACAACAGGAGCTCTGGGGATGCTTCCAAAGATCACCATGGCAACGTCCTGTGATACAAACAGCATCAGAAAAAAAAAGGACACTATTTCTTCCATATTTTATAAACAGAAATGTCAACTTTCTGTTCCTTATAGTTTGAAATTAGAGATACATCTTTTTTAACAGGGTGAATAAATATATGAAGAAAAACTATTTGTGTTTAGCATTCATTGCATTTTGAATAGCTCACCAAAAGAGTACAGCAACAGTCCGACGCTCAGCATGGTCACATTTGCAGCCCATCCAATTAACAAGAAAGCTGGAATCAGCAACATAATACCCTGCAAAACGAAGGAGTCACACGGTTACATTTAAGCCCTGCTCATCAAAGCCTAACTCTAGGTGTCCTGCCAGTTCTCTTCCACTGATGGGACATTTAAGTTGTTAGAAGCAGAAAGCCCTTTCTTCCCAAGCAGACGTTTCAAATTCACCCGGATGGCCACGCATCAGTGCAATTTACTTTTCTGTTCTCTCTCACTGTCACACAATTGCAGACCACATGCAGGCTGGAGTCAGCTGTATCAGAGGCTGCAGTTATCCCACCACCCATTTCCCACAACTAAGGAAAACTTGTTGCGGGGTTCTCTCACATGAGCTGGTTTTTGGTGGTTTTTTTCTCTTGTTCTGTGTCAAACTAGACAGAAGTCCAGCTTTAACTCCATCCCCTGAGCTGACACAAGAGATCAAAAAGTTTGTGTGCAACAGGACTACAGCTCCTCTGCTTTTTCTCAGCAGTATTGACTGATTTTAAGGGCTACATCAAACCCTCTTGAGCTTTCAGAGTCCATACTTCTGGAGCCAAGAAGAAAAAATGGGGTGCAAGTGGCATTTGAAATTCAAAGCCAAAAAGAAAAAATATTCTTCATTTCCTCCAAGAGCCTGGACTTCAGTTCCCCTGTGATCTCTCACAGAAGGGACAGATCTCCCTGTTTTTCAGCTTTTGCAGGAAGATGAATCAGTTAAGATCTGCTGCACATTTCACAATAGAGGGTATTCACTCCCACCAAATGTCTCATTTTGAAGACTGCCAGAGATGGCCAGACTGATGAAGTCCCTGAAAATAATTTGCCAGAAAGAGTCAGAGATCAGCTCTGAAGCAGCTTTAGAAGTTTCACTGTCTCCACTGCAAGAGAAATCACTGAAACAAAGCATAATCTTCACAGCATTTTACCTGGCTTGCACAGACAGATGCTCTGTCCTTATTCCCTACTGTAGTTATAGATGAAGAACTCAAAGTTTCAGTATCATAGCTGATATGGTAAGAAATGGCTCTAATGTTCTAAAGTTTAGTTACACTGGTAAACGCCCAACAACCAGGGTCTTGAGAAGTCATTTAGCTGGACTAAGATGACAGAAATTTCTTTTGTCTTGATAAGTATAGATATAGCCTCCAACTACCTTTTGTTGCACTTTAGACTGAAAATTAACATATCAGATTTGGGGGGGGGCAGGGGAAAGAAAAAAATTATTTTATTTTTACCTTTTTTACAGCTCTGATTTCATTTCCTGGCTTGATTCGTCGAGCATAGCCTCCCTGGATCACAGCCATTGTTATTCCAATAAAGAAAAACATCTTGCCCTGCTGCATGCTAGAAGGGAGGTAAAAACACACATTATGGAGTCACGCACAGAGCATTCCACTCTAGGATTCACAGGTCTAGGGTAGACCCTTTCCTGAACAAGAGAGATAAAATGCTTTTTGGTGCTCACATGAGCAGTGCAACATTCTTAATATGCTGACATTAGTTTCCATGGCACACAGATAGGAAGAAGATAAACCTCTGAGGTCTTACGTAGAGATGGGATGGCTGCTGGAAAATGCCACAACCGTCTCTAGACTGGTACGATGTAGTTTAGTTGTTTCTAGGGTGGCCCACAAAAAGTCAACACATTAATTACCCTGTGCCATGGAAGTCTGTGCCATATGCACAGGATTTGTTGGTTTCCACGGAACAAGTGTTTTGCTTTCTCACAACCACTGCCACCGCTCATGCAGAGTTTGATTAAGGTCACCAAGGCACAACATGGGCACTGGCATGGTGGTCTCCATCGTTAAATTAAAAAAAAAATTAAAAAATCCCTTTCACTTCTCTTATCTACTAAACTATGTGGATATTCTCAACTAAAAGTTCTCACTTCCATAACAAGCTTGTTTATCACGCAGCCTGGAATGTTGACATAAAGTTGTGTATCTCGCTACGTGGCTATCCTGAAGACTGTGCGGAAGCAAGCTTAATACACTAGAAGACCTTTCCTTGACATGCACACATTAGTTAAGCCACAAACTGTAATGAAAGACAGACAGGGAAAGATGAGACAAACCCCTGAGAATTACTCAAAGGGAAGGACACACATAAGGAATCAAGCTGCAAGATCATGTTCCTGGCTGGAAATCTTCCTATGAGCTGGCAGGAAAAGTATTTCAAGCTGAGCTGCTGTCAGTGGATTCTGTTCTCTTTCTTCTGTAGTGTTTGACTAAAGGAAATCAAACTCTATGATGTAATGACTGTACACCGTATGCGATGCAGAACTCTGACAAGCAAATATAATCGCATAGCTATCCCTCCATCTTTTGCCTTTTTTGAGCTTCAAGATTTGTCCTGATACTGAAGATCTCTTCTGGGCTAGAAGAGAAAAAGATTTATTATAAGCAATACAACTAGCCCAGCTACACATATTTCAGGAGCCTTAATTTAATCTTCTGTATTGATTTTTCTCTACTTATTAAAAGTTGTAGATTCAATGAGTATTTCCTTTCATGATAAACAGTGTGCCTGTATTTTCATAAATTCTTCCCATGAAGCCCAAGTATCACTGAAAGCAGTGGTTGATTTCTGAGTGTTTTTACTAACTTCATAAAGCCTCTTTTGAAAATAAATGAGGAGACCTTAAATAAAGATTTTGGAAAATATCCTAGACAAAATATACAACATTTGCCTTCT